CCGCCGGCATTACATTGATAGGTGCATAATGCCCAAGCTGGCAAAAATCCTCGAACAGTCAAGGGGTATGAGGCAAGTATGTATTTTTTCTCTTCTGTTCATTGTATAAAACGACTAGATTCCAAGTTGCCGTGGGTCTGTTCAGTAATAGATCACGGCAGCCGTCAAACTGTGGACAAAAAAATTATCTGTGGAAAAGACATCAGTGACACACTCGCCTTGTTTTCACCACATTTTGAAGTCATCTGTGATCTGTTACTGAACAGACGCACGGCAACATGGAATCTATCTGTTAAAAGAATATTTTACTCACCCGGTCTATGGTGAGTAAAGATTTTTTTTTTCTAGTCTTTTTATTTTATTTATTTATTTATTTATTTTTTTAATTATTATTTCCACAACAAGTATTGACATACATTGTAGTAGTACATATAGTAAAATAAAATCACAAAAAGTCATACAAGATATTTGATTTCAAGTCAAGGGATTCTACATTTTACAAAGCAATTGAAAAACGTGGACATGTTTCGAGTATGCAACTAATTTGTATGACTAAACAAAAAAAAAAAACAAATATTGTCACAAAAACAGAAAGGTACGAGACTAAAATAAACAAACAAATAAATAAATCAAGCAAAAAGTATATACATATAGTAAAATAAAATCACACAAAAGGTCATACAACATATTTGGTTTCAAGTTAAGGGATTCCACGTTTTACGCTTCTTATATATTGTTAATGCAACAGATTTTTTGAGAGGTTATTTTTAAAGCGAGACCATTTCCGTACAAAGACGTTTGAGTCGTTATTGTGGAATGCAATATGCTTTTCAATTTCTATCGAGTTCATAAGTACCTGTATATACACCTGCAGCTTAGGAAGCTTGTTCCCAAGTCTGCAGGTGTATATGTAATGTCTAGCTATAAGGAGTAGGTGATGAAAGAGAAGGTCTTTTACGTCGTCAATGAGACCGAAACAGAGAGACAAGGAGGGAGAGACGTTTTCTAAATCTTTGAAATTTTGAGACATCCACTCGAACATGCTCTTCCAGAAGTTCTGAGTGTATTTGCAAGTCCAGAATAGATGAACGAGGGTTTCTTTTTGTTCCTCGCAAAAGGAGCAGGAATCTGTTTGTTTGATACCTATTTTGTACAGGAAGTCATTTGTGGCTATTTTTCTGTGAAGGAATTTAAATTGGAACGCTCTAAGCTTTGACTCTCTTGTACACAGAGATGATAGGCAGTACGTATTTTCCCAGTTTACTATTATACTAAGATTACAATGTATGTCTCTCTCTTCCAACCACTTTCCCTGACTCCTTGATGGTATAGAAGCTTTTTCGTTTATTAGACATTCATAAATTTTCTTGGAAACTTTGGTGTGAGACAGAAGGGTATCAACTGGATCCTTTGGAGTTGGGTCATGATAGGCTGTAGAGTGTACTTTCTTGTAATGTGCTACAGCAGATATCACTTTGTGATATTCGAGATAATTGGTTTTGATGCTATATTTATCTATGAAGGCGTTATAGCTTAGAAAATTCTGGTCGTTATCTAACAGATCTCTAATCTCCTTTATCCCCGCGCTCAACCATGATCTGTAGAAGAATGGGCGATTTTCAATTCTAATGTGAGAGTTGTACCATATATATGTGGAGGCAAAATCGAGGTTATCGTCTTTGTAATTAAATTTTGTCCAGTACTGTATGATTTCTTTTAAGAAAGGGTCCTTGAGGTTGAGCAGTGCAGAATCTTGCTGTTTCAAATTGCTTCGGAACAATAGTTTTCCTCCGTACTTCCCTAAGTAGTGGTCAAAAAAAAGTTTCCACTTCCCTTTATTTTCTTCATTTAGATACCCTTGGATCCATTTCATTTTCAAGGATTCATTAAAGCTTTGAATATCTAACATCTTAAGTCCTCCTTTCGCGTAATTATTTATCATTGTCGTCCTTTTGATTTTATCGCCCTTACCGTCCCAAAGGAAATCGTACAATATAGAGTTGATTGTCTTAAGTATGTCAGGAGGTGTTGGAAGAGATGACAATATGTAGACGATTTGTGATACGGCTAGAGTTTTTATGATTGTAATTTTACCCAAGAGGGTCAGTCTTCTAGCCGACCAATTATCTAAGATACTCCTTATTTTCTCAATTTTCTCAATAAAGTTAGAATTAAGAGACCTATCTTCCAAAGTCGAAAACCACACTCCCAAGGCGAAGACCTTCTCGTTTGCCCAAGTTATTGGTTTACTTGAAGGGAAAGTGAGATTAGAACTTTTAGAGGCGCCAATCCAGAGGGCTTCAGTTTTTTCATAGTTGACCTTCAAACCCGATATGCAAGCAAAAGCATCAAGTAAGTACAGAGACCTCAAAAAGGAGGACTTGGAGCCATCCAAAATCATAGTCGTGTCATCTGCATATTGGGATAACTTACACTCAGTATGAAAAATCTTTATTCCACGGACCTCATTATCTTTCCTTACTGTATTACCTAGTATTTCAGCGCACAAAATAAATAAATATGGGGACAGCGGGCATCCCTGTCTCACACCGCGACCTAAGTTGAAAAAATCCGAAGACCATCCGTTGTTCAGAACACAGCTGCTGATATCGGTATAAAATACTTTTACCCAAGTAACCAGAGAGGTTCCAAAATTATAGTACTTCAGAGTTTTTTCTATAAAGGACCATTCAATGCTATCGAAGGCTTTTTCGAAGTCGACAAACAGTAGTAGACCGGGTATTTTTTCTGTATTTGTGTAATTAATAATACTATCAATAAGTCTGATGTTTTCTCCGATGAATCGGCCTTTTAGAAAACCAGTTTGATCGTTGTTAATTATCCTTGGTAGAACCTTTCGTATTCTACTTGCAATGGATTTGGTGGCTATTTTGTAATCGCAATTAAGCAGGGTGATAGGCCTCCAATTTTTTAGCAGGTTGGTCGGTTTGTTCTTCTTTGGTATGAGAGTAATCAATCCTCTTCTTTGAGTAATCGATAAGAGACCTTTTGTATATGCACAATTTAAGGCATTTACCAGATGCTGATTGATGTCATTCCAAAAAACTTTATAGAATTCGGCTGGGAGGCCGTCACTTCCAGGGCTCTTGTTTGATTCCATTGATTTTAAACTTTCTAAACATTCAGAGGCAGTCAGGAAGCCTTCACACTCTTTTTGCTCTTGCTCATTTAGGATAAGAGTATTTCCGTCTGGGAAAAACATACTTTCTTCCTTAGTGTCGGGTTGCGTATTAGCTGAAGAATAAAGATTCTGATAGAAGGATTTTGCTTCTTCTAGGATCTCGCTATCTGTATTGACGACATTATCATTTGCTAATGTGAGGTGTTTGATGGTTTTTTTATTGAAATGTCGTTTTTCCAAGTTTAGGAAGTATTTTGTATTTTTCTCTCCTTCATTATGCCACCGAGACTTGGATCTTAATATTGCTCCTCGAGTTTTATATTTTGAAATTTCTTCTCTTTGTAGAATCTTAACATCTATTTCACTATAAATATGGACTTTCTCATTTTCAGAAATGTTGTTTTCTTCTAACTCCTTTTGGAGAGACAATATTTCAGATTCAAGTTTTAACTCAAGTGATTTCATTTTAGCTTTCTTTCTCCTTGCATAGTTTAGAGAGCTTGACCTAATTTGCATCTTCATGGTGTCCCATAATAGAATGGCATCAATCTCGTTATTGTTCGCATATTCATTTGCTACATCAGTGATTGTTTTCTTAATTAGGCCGACATATTCTTCATCTAACAGAAAAGAGGTGTTCAATTTCCAAAAACCCGGGCCCCTGGGGTTTGCATCATTTGCCAAATGAATAGATATTAAAGAGTGATCTGTTTTGTACCCAGGTAATATGTCTGCATTGGTGATAGTTGTACTTAAGCTAGAGCTTGTCAAAAAAAAGTCTAGACGGCAGTGTATGTCAGGTTTTCTTCTCCTCCAAGTGAATCTTTTAGCTTCTGGGTTAAAGCAACGCCAAATGTCTATGAGATCCAATACGTTTGAAATGTGCTTGACCTCTTTTAACGAGTTGTTGTGGGTTACTGGTCTTCCACCTTTTTTGTCTTTTTGGACATCAAGCACTAAATTAAAGTCTCCACCAAGAATTATCTCGCTGCAGTCAAAACAGAGAAGTTGGTTTAGAACGTTTTGGAAGAATGTAGGCTTGTCTTCATTCGGTGCATAAATATTAACCAAAGTTAAGATCTTACTTTCTAATTTGATATCAACCATGACGAACCTTCCCTCTGGATCGGAAAAGGATTTTAAAATTTGAAAGTTGAAATTATTATTAAAAAGCACACATACTCCGGCGCTGGCGCTAGAGAAGCTGCTGAATATGGCGGAATACCCCCACTCCGCGGACCATATGTGCTCTTTGTCTTCTGTACAATGAACTTCTTGTAAAAAATAAACGGCATATTTCTTCATCTTAAGCCAACGGAAGGTCTCACGCCTTTTCATGATGTTCGACAAACCTCTCACGTTTAATGAGCAAATTACTAATTCGGCGTTGTATGGGATAGTTTGTGGATGCTTATAAACAAAGCAATTGAAAAACGTAGATATGTTTCGAGTATGCAACTAATTTGTATGACTAAACAAAGAAAATAAATATTGCCACCAAAAACAGAAGGGTACGAGGCTAAAATAAACAAATAAATCAAGCAAAACATTAAAAGTCCGTTGGTTGGGTCCATAAGGAGTCTCAGAAGAACTTAGTCTGATACGGGAAGCAGCCGTACGTTCGCGTGACAATGGAAAAACAGAAAATTTAGATTAAATGTCTCCATTAAGCCTGTGCACTGGATTGAGGAGGTCTAAGGTCTTCAGGGATATTACTTACTTTGTAAATAACATTGTTGATAATAAGCTTTCTATCGATAACTTTTGCGCTCAAACCTCGCTCCTTTGCTTGGAACATTGCTTTGATTAATACTTTCCTTTCCTGCTGTATCGCTTTTGCGTAATCTTGCGTTATGTATACATCCTTAGCTCTCGATGAATCTTTCAACCTGTTTCTCTCTCGAAAAACTGCGTCTCTGTCTTCCCTGCTGAGGAAGCGTGCAATAATTGGTCTCGGGAAGCTTTTGGAGGCATCTTCTGAGCGCGGTTTCCCAACACGATGAACTGCATGGAAGTGAATATCTTCTACATTGATATTCATGTCATTTTCAATTATATCATACACTACATCCATGCAATTTTCGTCATTGCGTTCAGGTACATTCATAAATCGAAGATTCTCGCGTCTAGAATAGGTCTCCAAAGCAATAATTTTCTCCTGTTCTTCAAGCAGCCTTGTTTTCAAATTTTCGATTTCAGCTTGTTGGCTGTCAACTTTTTTGAGGTTTACTTTGAGCAGGTCTAGTTCTTGGCGATGAGAGTCGAGGCTTTGTTGGCATGTTTTCTTGTAGTCGTTGTGGGTTTTTGTTTCTTCTTGAATGTCGTTGATTGAATCCCAAGCCGCCTCCAGAGATTTTTCTACGTCTCTCAGGGACTTTTTCACACCATCAAGTTCTTGTTTCATTTCGTGTCTCAAGATTGAAATTTCGGATGTCAGTTTTCCAAAATGCTCTTGCATTTGAGTATCTAAACGAGAAATTTTTTCAAAATTTTGGTTAAACTGCTCCAGGCTAAGGGCCTCAGATTGTTTGCTGTCTTCCATCACAGTGCTGCTAGAGCGACGATTTCTTTTGGGCGATGGCGTCTGTTGTGAAGACGAGCTTGATGATCTGTTTTCTCGCTCGTTTCTTTTAGACATTAGAGGCTGTCGGGTCTACCGCCAGATGTTTCATTACCAAGATATTAGAATACAAATATGACGCAAAAATTCAACGTTAGGCGTACTTCCCGTCCACAAATTTACGCAGCGACAGTGACACGTCTTGCCGCCATGATTGCTCGACCCCGGTAAGTAAAGTTTAAAAATCATCAGGGGATAACAACAGCAAAATAAAACAAGCGAAGACAAATATTTTAATAACTAACTATTACCTTTATTACTCTCTCCTATGATATACATGTAACAGGAAACTAACAACAAGTAAAAACAATAATTAAAACCTTTTTCTCTCGTTTAACGTGCCAATTAGGTTTATACATGAACTGAAGAACAAAAATTAATTACCGGTAATATCATTTTGATAATGGTAAAATTATTAATAACAATAACTCTACCTCGATTTCGTACTACTTGAAATCTATAACACCTGTTTGCTTCATTTGTACACAGACAATGAGTTACGTAAGAAGTAGTCAACGAGTTTAAGTTGTGATTCTATATTGTTTTGGTTTGAAAATAGGGAGCTTTAGTTTGGAGGACGAGGATGATACAAAGACGACATTTAATTTTACGCTTTCTCGCTTATTCTCTAAAAATAGACACCCCGGAAAGCCTCAATGTACTTTTTTTCACCACAAAAGTTAGCAAGCTTATCTCCGTTAAAGGAGGTTAAGCCCTCTCCCGATCACTAAATGATATAATTTCTCACATTTGATAACTTGTTTTTGCCACTACGACATTCTAGCTAAAAACTTTGTGGTAGAGGAAGTAGACTGACGACGCCCACCACATTTTCCCGCCAAAATAACGTTGGTTCGCGCGCACGCACTACTTACTATTGGGGAAATCTCGTCGTCGTCTTAAAATCTAAAGCTCTCTAGTTTTTCAGTTGGAAATAACGCAAAAGGAATGGAATTGAAATTCAGAGATGAATAATTCAATTCTTTTGTTTAATATCATGGGTGACAATTTACTCCTTAATTCTGGCGCAAAATTTCAGCGTTAATTCATAACTTCACATGTGAAATTACAAAATTGCCACTGCACGTGCAAGTGCCAAGAAAGTTGAATATGAATGAAGAGCGCAGGAAGGAGTGAACTCGTTATCGGCTGCACAATATGCTTTTCTACCATTGGTCAAGTCAGTTTTGCGCGCCCCGGTTATAAATCTGCCAAACAACTGACTCTCGAGGCTGAATGTAATGGTCTCATATCCGCTATCAAGGAACAGAAACTATTTGGGCATCATTTACACTGCACTCTTGAAGGTATGTTGTTATTGTCATGTGGTTGGAATTATTTTTGCACACAAGCCCTTGCTCTTATTGACTACTTCTTGTGCTAAATGTCCAAACTAAAAGAGTTGTTAAAGGGGCAAGATCGCGCAATTTTAGGACATTTTATTCAACAGACGACCTAAATAATGTGAATTAGAAAATAAAATCTAAAAGTAAATACAAAATACCACCGCAAAATAAAGGTAAGCAAAAAAGGCACTCGGATAGCAAAGCTACAGATATTAAAAGGAATTAAATTCGGGTAAAGGCAACAAACACATTTTATCTCCATTTGTGCGATGTATAATGCTCAGGGGTAATCTTTGTTATCTATCCGTCCATTTTTTGAAAAAGAAAAAGAAAAAGAAAACAAAAAAAATTAAATTAAAATGACACTTTGAATTTCTGTTGTGCTTTACTGTCTATTCTCCTCTAGAGCCATTTAAAAGCCGTGAGTTGAGTTGTACCAACAATAAGAAATAAGGGAAACTTCCCTTATTTAACGGACGAATAAAGTTCCCCACTCAGTCTGTTCGCTTTGTCCGTTCTTCAGTGCCGCTAAGCCTCGACTTGGCCATCTGAAAATGAACTGCTCGCAGGTTGTGAAGACTTTTGCTTTGATAATTTGTCGTTTTAAGCCCACAATAAAAAGGCAAAATGGCGAAAAATGCCGCGACCTAGCCCCCAGAACGAATAACAACGTAACATGACGTTCCCGAGACCTCAAGTCATTGTCAAATGCGAATGAAAGTAACAGTTCTGTCATGTCTTTTATCAGAAAGAATTAAAAAACGTGCACCGAGCACTCAAGCGGACTCCGTCCGTGACTGGCGTAGAAAACCGGTAGGGGGGCGGAGGGGGGGTGGAGAAAGAAAGGCGGAAGACTGGAAAGATAGGTCAGAAGGGACGCCTGACAATTTTCCCGTTTTCACGCTTGAATTTAATTTACATGTACTTTATTTCACCTTTTTCTGTTTGTACACACGCAACCTTTGTTAATTTTCTTACCATTTGACAATGATGGCACAAAGTCCTCGTATCGTCATGTAACGCTGTGATGTATGGTTAATTTCTTTTAAAATGTAAGCTATTTAAACAGACTTAACCTGTTAACAATTTATGTACTTAGCACTAAAGAGTAAATATGGATAATCGTCTTAATTAAAATAAGGAAAATTTCTTACACAATTTCTAAAATCTAGTATCAAATACTTGAGTTACACTTAATGGGGTTTCAGCTTATCTACGTAAAACTGTTCTTCTAAGAAGATACGAAAAAATTCTTGGTCAATATCTGATTATGCATGTAGGATTTGGAGAGACTGGGGAAGTTGAAAGCGCTTAGAACGCCTTAAAAACAGGAAAATGCGCATTATTTTGTCAGCTCCTCCATACACACAGCATATTGATACTAAGTCCTTTTACTATTCATTCAAAATAANGAGTAAATATGGATAATCGTCTTAATTAAAATAAGGAAAATTTCTTACACAATTTCTAAAATCTAGTATCAAATACTTGAGTTACACTTAATGGGGTTTCAGCTTATCTACGTAAAACTGTTCTTCTAAGAAGATACGAAAAAATTCTTGGTCAATATCTGATTATGCATGTAGGATTTGGAGAGACTGGGGAAGTTGAAAGCGCTTAGAACGCCTTAAAAACAGGAAAATGCGCATTATTTTGTCAGCTCCTCCATACACACAGCATATTGATACTAAGTCCTTTTACTATTCATTCAAAATAAGTGTATGTCGCCGTTTGGTATTGGCTTTAATTCCCCTCCTATTTCTTATTACCAGCTGGCGATGAGGAAATTGGGAAGATGCGAGGATTACTGTTACCATCGATACGATAGTGCGTTGCCTCAGTATATAATCGCAACCTCTTTTTCAATGAGCATTGCGGCTGCCTGGCTGTTTTGGCATAAATGATCTCAAGGAAATAACAAAAGAGTCCACGGCTAACTGAAGACGAACTAGCCGAATTTCTGACTAAAATGGAACGAAGGAAATGTGAGAAGACGGAAAAAGATATTGATCGATGGATGTTATCCATTTTTAAGGAGCATCTGCAAAGAAAAAAACCTGTCTTTATACCCTGAAACCAAGCTGAGAAACAGGCCAAAGTCTTGAAGAAAGTTTACGAGGAGGTAAGCTTGTTAAGAGCTTAGAAATATTTTAAATGAATAATAAAAGAGTTATTGACTTCCGGGCTTTCGCATTATATCAAGAAAATCTGCAGATCTCAATGATTACTAATTGTCCTTATCTGTTGGGCCGCGTTTTTTAAGGCACTATATCATTCGAATAGTGGGCAGCCATCTAAAAACCTCTTATTTCATTGGATCTTCGATGGTACGCAGTTCTATTGTTTTGTTCTATTGTGAGGCTTTGTAAGAGCTGAATATCGCTCTTCTTCAGGGGGCAGTCTGCCTCTGACAAAAAGAGAATTTTTTTTGCCGTTAGTGTTTTTTTTTTCTTCCTATATTTTAAAAATATATCTAAGTTTTTTAAACTCATTTTTACAGTTTTGAAGGGATTTTTAAAGCAAAGCAATTTTAAGTTGCTGATGGCTAGCTGTTCCAAGTGAACACTTCGTCTTTTATCAGGTTGATAAAATCACAATCATCATCATCGTCGTCATCACCATCGTCATCACCATCACCATTTCTAAGAGAATTTTTATGTTCGCAAGCAACCTTAGTGAAGGATCGTAACCTTTAATTTCGCACTCGCTACTCTTTTTTAGCACGAAATATCTGATGTCTTTCCAAACATGTACTAGAACGTAGAACCGAACCAAATTTTTCCGGTCAGTACTAGCACCAGACAGTCTTCGTGGATGATTACCTAAACAATGTTTACGCCACATTTTGAGAAGCTGAACATTTTTCTTTCTTGAAAGGGAAAAGCTATTGGTCTATGTCCAAGTGGAAGAAGCTTCACGAAACGAAAATGATCTTGGAATTTAGCGATTCAGGATCGAATATTATATTTAGACGATGTTATAAAGCCGGACAGGGACACTGTGATCATGCACACCTCTCAGCTTTTAGCTCACGCAGTGTTGAGTTCTGTGAAGGGTGAGTGATGATGCTTCAGCTCGCTGTACTTCAAAGCGCCAGCAGTGACATATTACAGGAGGTACAAAAATCAACCCGCAACCCTTCGGTGGGAAAAAAGAGAACACGAGGTGCATCTCTCGGGCTTTACGATCGAACTTCACCGAAAAGAAAAAACCCTGAGGAAGGCAAAGGAAACTTTTTTGAAGACTTTCAAGAGAACTTTCAAAAAAGTATGTCCTGCGGGACCAGTTTTTCAGGTTGGAAATGATAGCTCAACTACTGTTACAAAATATGGGGTGAATGCTGCAATGGCAGTCCCGCTACGCTATCAGTTAACTTCAACTGAATGCATCGGAGAAATGTGACATAAATAGCGTGCACGTAATATTCCACCGAAAATGCCTGGGCCCTCTGATCTAACTACTTTTTACATCCCACTGAGCACTTTTTAATTAACTTTTCACAAATTTCTTGACTATTAGCTGTCAGTTTTGCCAAACCTTTAGGCCAGCGATCCGAGCGCAGATGATGCAAATGAG